TAGCCTGCCTCTGGCTGCAGAGTAGCCGCTTGCAGTCAAAAAAAAAAAGAGACGTCAAATCAGACACTTCTTCTCCTGGTAATGACGCTCTCGCAGTGTTTGCATACTCTATCACAGATGAAGTGAATTATATGAAATATTTGTCAAATACACAGACGTTTCAGATATCTGATCACTCTACACAAAAATCTAGAAACAATGTGAACGAACTCCCCAACAGCTTAAGCAGCAAACTTTGCAAAACACAAACTTTGTCACTGCCAAAACTTTTGGCCATGACTGTACTTCTTAATACAGCGCCATCTGTTCATGAATAAGTTCAACATTAACATATGCTGTTTAAATAACGTTACCAATAATGTGGGGGTATATGCTTTTATCAGGTTTTTTTTTTTTTTTTAAACGTGACTCATATCGTGCTTATCACAGAATCTAACCAACGAGAATAAAGTGTCATATCAAGGCTTTCACAGTGCCTGACCTAGGTGGCTGGACTCGTTTTGCTCTCTTGGTACTTTGATGGCACATGTGATCGTAAGGTGGCTGCAGCGCCGATCAAAGTTAGACAAATTTTCTAACCAGAATGCATTGCTTTTCACAGGCGGCAGCTCGTCTTTGCGGCACCACATGAAGTCGAAGAGGCAAACCAAGGAAGATGTAGAACATGTCTTGTTTAGATGCAATAAATACCATGAATACAGGCAGAAATGGCAGGAAATTGAAAAAGAAAATAAAATTGAAGATATTCTTAGAGAACAAGGGATGGAAAGAAATACACTCAAAGCTTTGTTTATATTTCTTGAAAATACTGGATTAATAAGAAGAATTTAGAAACGAAAAGATAACCCTTTGTGGGTTTTCTTTTGTTTTGTTTTATATATTTTTTCTTTATCCCCCTCCCCTCCTGTACAGTAGGTGGCGATATGCAATAATTACAAGTTGCAAAAACCAAGAAAAAAGATCCCGGTCATGACTAGGAACTGCTGTAAAACGGCATCAATGTCTATGTTTGTTGCCAATCACCCCCGATTTGAGCTTCGGATGCGTTCAGATATTTGAACTTGAGCGACTACACCGTATGCGACACGCCGATCGGATGTGATGTATTCCCAAGTTGTCCAATCAAATCAGTGTGCGCAAGTTGAGAATTATAATTCTTTTTGTTTCTCACATTTTATTTTGTTTTAAAACTTAAAAAAAAATGCATGATTATTGGTGAATAATAAATTATTCATTTAATTTTATATTTTATTATTTTTAATGTTGTAATTTTAATTATTGTTGGCATTCAATTCATTTCACCATGGTGAATGTACGGAGGATAAAGGCTCTTGCACTTCTTTACTGGAGACGCAAAAAGAAATACCGCAAATCAGTGTGGGTACAACACTACCTGGCTCGGAGGAAACATCTTGGCGAGTATCACCGTTTAGTGCAAGAGCTGCGCCTTAACAGGGACGATTTCCGTGAGTATTTTCGGGTCTCACGAGAGGAATTTAATGAGATCCTTCAGGTTGTTGGCCCAAAAATTAGCAGGCAGGATACTGCATTCCGGAAATCCATCAGCCTGGCCGAATGCCTGGCAATTTGTCTCAGGTACAAACCGAAGTTATTTGGGTTTTATAATTACGGGGTCTGTGTCATAATGGCCAAGTTAATAATAATAATAATAATATATATATATGTGTGTGTGTGTGTGTATGTATATATACCCACACTATTCTGTGTACTTGTTTAACTATACTTATGAGGGCTAATGTCCTCACTAATATAGTGAAATATCATAATTGACTTGAGGACATTTTAAATTTGTTAAAAATGCTATACGTGGGAATACTAGGCTAGATGCTAATTAAGGCACGACATGGATTTGCATACATTCAGCAAATTTGGCAAACAAAACACACCTGACAAACCGACAATCTCGCTAACTCTCTTCCAAGCCTCATTTTTCCTATTAAAGTCTCTGTATGATTCTAGCGAAGTATCATACAGAATGGGGTTTTCTGAGACCGCGAGGATAAGCTTCTCTCCCATGTTGCCGTGTACGATCATAATGAAATTTCCGTGCGACTGCCACTAGGGGGCGAATTCCGACAGTCGTGTCCGAATGTCGTGTGCAGTGGAAAGGCCGCTTAAAGCTGTATCTTTCTTTTATAAATCTGATAAAACTGAAGACACTTCGGAGATGTGAATGATGCAATACTGCACTATAGGTACTCAAGATTAAGATGACATTGGCCGAAAATGTGTGTGTTATGTCCCCTTTAACCTAGTCAAGTCGACTTTATATTTATAGCACTACAGCACAGATTTAAGCAGCAGGAAATAATGACCATGGTACAAATGGAATCATTTCTGCTGCAGCGCACCTCCAAGACAAAATGGCCTGGGCTGCTGCCATGCTGCCTCGCCGCCTGCCGGCCAGTGGCTTCGCAGGCAGCGTTTGTTCATGAAGGTAACTCATGAAACTGATGTCGGGCATGCTTCTGAGGCAGCTTAACGGTTCAGTGATCTACAACAAAATAAAACGAGCTTTAGTGAAAACTAAGCAAATATTAAATGATTTATTTGATCAACCATAACGGGATAGAACACACAGGATTGTGGGTATCAAGGCAGCGAAGGAGATCTATTCTGCCTTTAAATATCGACCAGATGAGGTATCTCAGGAGGCAGGACATAAAGCTAACTTTGGACTCGACGTGTCTCGATGCCTTCCTACCTTGAAATGTGTCCTCCAAAGGCAGCATTTTCCAGTTTCGGATGCAGTCGTCAGTTCAGCATTGATTCTGTTCCCACATCAGACACACTTGTTCTGTCTAGTCGTATTGGAAACATGCTTGTTCTTAAGCTCTCGGTTGTTATTGGGAACATGCTTGTTCTTAAATTATAGTTGCATTGTCGGGAACACGCTTGTCCCAGAGCTATCTGGTTGTTATTGGAACATGCTTGTTCTAAAAGCTGTAGTCGTAATCGGAACATGCTTCTTCTTAAACTGTCTAGTCATATGGGTATATGCTTGTTCTTAAGCTACCTGGTCATTATTGGGAACATGCTTATTCTTAAGTTATAGCTGTATGGTTGGGAACATGCTTGTTCCAGAGCAATGAACACGCTTGTCCCAGAGCTATCTGGTTGTTATTGTTCTAAAAGCTGTAGTTGTATTGGGAACATGCTTGTTTTTAAGCTGTCTAGTCGCATTGGGAATATGCTTGTTCTTAAGCTGTGTAGTCGTATTGGAAATATGCTCGTTCTTAAGCTACCTGGTCGTTATTGAGAACATGCTTATTCTTAAGTTATAGCTGTATTGTTGGGAACATGCTTGTTCCAGAGCAATCCGGTCATTAATCGGAACATGCTTGTTCTTAAAGCTGAATCTGAATTGGAAACATGTTTTTCCTCAGTATTATCAGCAGTTTTCGCATTGCTCAATAGCTAATTACCCTCCTCCATCCCCAACTCCTCCTCCTCTGTCAGTCAAGTTTCAGCCTTCTGATTCTCCTTTGAATCAGATCTAAATGTGTACATTAAAGTTTTGAACTTTAATGATATCTGTAATACTTGTTGGCTCAGTTTTGTTTACCCCAGGGGGTTACCACTGCTCTCCCTGCTCTTATCCATGCTAGGCTGCATGGATGCGCAGGGAATTCTTGCCCAGAACAGAACCATACCGCCAATCCAAACTGTATGCTGATTGTCAGTCATCTTTGACAATAGTGGTCCTGACAGAATTGAGGTAGAGGAGAGTGATAAGCCAAAGACTGCTTTTGTTTGTCCCCTGGGGTTCTGTGAATTTAATCGAATGCCCCCAGCACGTTCCAGCGTCTGATGGAACGTTGCATGGGGGACATCAATCTGAAAGAGGTTCTAGTCTTTATAGATGATCTCATAGTCTTTTCAGCAACATTAGAAGAGCACGAGGATAGGCTCTTGCGAGTTCTTCAACGTTTGAAAGACTACAGTCTCAAGTTGTCACCGGAAAAATTAAAATTTTTCCAGACATCGGTGAGGTATCTAGGGCACATTGTGTCTGCAAACGGTGTTGAGATGGATCCTAATAAGTTCAAGGCCCTAAAAACTTGGCCAAGTCCAACGAACTTAAAGGAACTTAGTTCCTTCCTTGGTTTTGCAGGGTATTACAGGAGATTTATCAAAGCCTTTTCCAAAATAGTAAAACCCCTTAAAAATCTCACCTCTGGATACCCTCCGCTTCGCAAATCAATGAAGACTCAAGAGATGAAAGGTCAATACTTGAACCCAAGAGAGCCATTCAAACAGCGTTGGACAGCTACTTGTCAGCAAGCTTTTATTGAAATCATTGACAAACTTACTATCAAAAATTTACAAAACTTACAAAAAAAAACAATTAAAAAACAGCTTTAGAAAAGTAAATACAGAGCGAGCCAGCCAGGAGTCAGACCTAGATTCTTCTGATCCATAGTCAGATGCGTTATTCATTGCGCCACTTGCCCACTGACAAAAGTGCCTCTAGATTGCACCAGACTTGTTGATTTTTAACATGACAGAGGCCAGAATTGCTGTCTGCTTACTCGCATGCTGTTATCAGGAGTGCAGCCCACAAGCCCACCAGCTCACCACCTCCCCAGCCCTTCCCTGGTGGTCTAGTGGTTAGGATTTGGTGCTCTCACCGCCGCGGCCTGGGTTCGATTCCCGGTCAGGGAATGCTCTTTTGCCTCCCAACGGTGGACTGTCAATTGAATCTCTGCTTGCTGCTGCGAGAAACTCACCCAAACAAAAAAAAGGTGTGTGCTTGAAAACAGAACTCCTTCGAGCCGGAGTCAAACCAGCGTCCTAATGATTGCCAACACTTCTACCTACCTTCCTCCACTCTAGCAGCTGAGCTATCGAAGGCGTGGGGTGCTGGTCTGAACCTCAATCTATCAGGGTTCTGTAGCTCTAATGTTGGCCAAAAATCACGTCTGGTGCAGGAAGACGTGCTGGCTTTTTTTGAGGAGGGAAGCAAAAAGGAGCCCAACTTCCCATACCGGGAGTTGAACCCGGGCCCCCTGGGTGAAAATCAGGAATCCTAACTGCTAGACCATAAGGGAACTGCCTTGAACCGGCCACAGACTTGTTGGCCACTTTCCATACGTGTGGCCAGTGTGGGGGCAGGGTTTTGTAGTGGCCTATGGGTTTTGGTGTGTGACTTTAACAATGTGAGAATAATTTTGCAAAACAAGAATTATCCGAAGGGATCGTTTACTGAATTAAATCGTGATGCATGCATTCAAGGGATCTGTTGCTTGACTGACCCAGGGGATTCAGTTTTTTTGGCATATTCTTGTGATTGCTGAATAGATACCTCAAACTGGTAAATCAAGTCTTGTCCAGGAGAATATACCCACTTCATGCACACGAAAAAAACGCATGCTAACCGTTCTCTAGAGTAAAAACCGCCTATCTTCGGTCTGTCAAGGTACAAAAATGACAAATTCTGAGATTAACAATGAAAGGGAGACATTTTTAATCGGATAAGCTGCGGATTATTCGCTCGTTCAGTTTAATTTAGTTCACAACTTTTTCTCAATGTCCAGGTGGCAGTTAGGAATAAGGCTACAAAATGGCAAGCCCATGACATCAAAACCACATGGCATTACACCCTGCAAAGTAGTGAACCAGTTACAAAGTAGCGATCAAGTTGTTCATTCAAGAATCAAATGACTGCCAGTCTGGAGCTTATTTCCACGTTAATCGCCGAGCTTGTCGGAGTGCTTGTGGGACGATTGGCAATCACGAAGCATGTGCGCATCTCCCGTAGACATTAGAACGGGTGTGCAACATACGCCTTTTGTGGAATAAAAGATGCATGCTTGGAGATTTGTCTCTTCTTCTGGACTTTTCGGAAAAAAAAAAACAGCTACAAAATCAGCCTGAGAAAAGTAAACACAGAGCGAGCCAGCGAGGAGTTGAACCTAGAATCTTCTGATCCATAGTCAGACGCTTTATCCATTGCACCACTGGTCCACCTACAGAAATGCCTCGCGATTGCACCAGACTTGTTGGTTTTCGACGTGACAAAGGTCAGAATTGCTGTCTAATTATTCTCATGCTACTATCAGGAGAGTAACCAAACCACCCTTCCCTGGTGGTCTAGTGGTTAGGATTCGTTGCTCTCACTGCCGCGGACCGGGTTCCATTCCTGGTCAGGGAATGATCTTTTACCTTCCAACGGTGGACTGTGAAGTGAAGCTCTGCTTGCAGCTGTGAGAAACCCAGCCAAACAAGAAAAAAGGTGGGCATTTGAAAATAGACCTCCTTCGAGCCGGAGTCGAACCAGCGACCTAAGGATTGTCAACACTCCTACCTACCGTCCTCCGCTCTACCAGCTAAGCTATCGAAGGCTCTCTGCTTGAAACAGAACCTCAACCTATTAGGGTTTTGTAGCTCTACTGCTGGCCAAAAAACACGTCTCGTGCAGGAAGACGTGCTGGCTGTTTGAGGAGGGAAGCAAAAAGGAGCCCACCTTCCCATACCAGGAGTCAAACCCGGGCTGTCTGGGTGAAAACCAGGAATCCTAACCGCTAGACCATATGGGAATTGCCTTGAATTGGACAAAGGCTTGTGGGCCACTTTCCATATGTGTGGCCAGTGTGGGGGCAGGGTTATGTAGTGGCCTATGAGGTTTGGTGTGTGACTTTAACAATGTGAAAATAATTTTGCAAAACAAGAATTATCCGAAGGGATCGTTTACTGAATTAAATCGTGGTGCATGCATTCAAGGGATCTGTTGCTTGACTCACCCAGGGGATTCTGTTTTTTTGCCATATTCCTGTGATTGCTGAATAGATACCTCAAACTGGTAAATCAAGTCTTGTCCAGGAGAAAATACCCACTTCATGCATTCGAAAACACGCATGGTAACCGTTCTCTAGAGGAAAAACCACCTATCGTCGGTCTGTCAAGGGACAAAAATGACAAATTCTGAGATTAACAATGAAAGGGACACATTTTTAATCAGATAAGTTGCGGATTATTCACTCGTTCAGTTTAATTTAGTTCACAACTTTTTCTCAATGTCCAGGTGGCAGTTAGGAATAAGGCTACAAAATGGCAAGCCCATGACATCAAAACCACATGGCATTACACCCTGCAAAGTAGTGAAGCAGTTACAAAGTAGCGATGAAGTTGTTCATTCAAGAATCAAATGACTGCCAGTCTGGAGCTTATTTCCACGTTAATCGCCGAGCTTGTCGGAGTGCTTGTGGGACGATTGGCAATCACGAAGCATGTGCGCATCTCCCGTAGACATTAGAACGGGTGTGCAACATACGCCTTTTGTGGAATAAAAGATGCATGCTTGGAGATTTGTCTCTTCTTCTGGACTTTTCGAAAAAAAAAAAAAACTACAAAAACAGCCTGAGAAAAGTAAACACAGGGCAAGCCAGCCAGGAGTCAAACCTAGAATCTTCTGATCCATAGTCAGACTCCTTATCCATTGCGCCAAAGCTGGGGAACAATAGTCTGTATAAGGGGGGGAAGAAAGAGAAGAAGGGTGAAGCAGGAAAAATTGAGAAAAGGGAATAATAGTCTGTATAAGGGGGGGGAAGAAGGAGAAGAAGGGTGAAGCAGGAAAAATAGAGAAAAATTGAGAAATTGAGAAAAAATGAAGTGAAATGGGAGTTAATATTGACTATGCTGCCCGTCAGAAGCTACAGGACGCATATATTACATTATTAGTTTGAGAAATATGTCCATAGATAACACTTTGCTGTAATATTGCATGGGGCGCTGTGGATCCAAAGGTTGCCGGTTCGATCCCCGACTGGAGCAGGCATCTCTAACCAAAAACTCTAACTGAAATATTACGAATCATTTAATTAATCACTTATTAATTGATACAAATAGGACAATGGCTTATTACGAATGTCATACAGTCAAATATATGTACTTAGTGTACATAAGTGAACATACTTATGTAACAATGATATAGATAATAATTAACCTAATTTACATAGCAATGCAAGAAACATTTCTATCAATTAGTTGCACTAGCGGACACCTACACATGTATGTTTTGTTTTGACAAAAATTTATAAAAAGTATTCATATGTATTGTTTGTATGTATTTATGTATGTGTTTTACATTGCTTGAGAAAAAATACCCAATTTATTAATACTTTATATACTTCAATTAATAATTTAAAAATGAAAGGAATTAGAATTGAAAGTTTGTAATTGTTTTCTCTGAGTGACTGTTAAATAAATAAAGATAAAGGCCTTGCTGTTCAAATATATTACAAATTTATTACAAAACATACATCTTAATTCTCTCTCTTTCTCTCTCTCACACACACAGTAAGCATATCATAGATACAAAGAAATTGAAGAAATATATATAAAATACAAATATAAAATAAATAAACAAAATACAAAAAGTAATAAAAGTAGAAGATTCTGGTCAGCTGGTAAAAAGTATACAAATAACAAAATCAACACACCTTGCAAGGCTCACACAAAAAACAGTAATATACAGTGTGTTATTTCTGTTATGTTGATTTTTTTAAATGCCAGACCTGTTATATGGGATGAATATTGAACAGTTACATCAACGAACTAATAGAACATGACTGAAGTATTTCCACTACACATCTACACCGTATGAGACAAAGTCAAGTCAAGTCAAGTCAAGTCTGCTTTATTGTCAATTCTTCCACATGTACAGCACATACACACAGAGAATTGAAATTGCGTTACTCTCAGACCCTTGGTGCATACAGATAACACTAACAGTAGAACATAAATACAGATATACAGATTAAATATAAAATACAGCTATACAAATATACAAATAAGGTAAAATGTAAAAAAATCTAAAAAAATATATCTAAAAAAATATATATAAAGCAGCACACGGCACATGGCAGATAGAGTGCAAACCAGTGAAGTAAACAACAGTGCAGATATAATGATTTGTAGTGATTTAATTTAAGAGTTTCTCACAGCTCTAGCAGCTACCGATGGTATCGAGGAGGTGGTTGTGGACACAGGAGAGGGAGGAAGAGACAGAGTCGAGACAGTCTGAATGTACATTCTGGGACTGCGGGCAGGCGATGGTGTCCTCCTTGTCATGGCACTTGTGACAGTGCTGGACATGGCAGAAGAATCAGAAGTGCAACTGATGGGCTGAGAGAATATGACCACAGTTTACAACATTATATATAATATTAATCTGTCCTTAAATCCTTATTAGGAATTACAGTAATGACAACATAATTTAAACATATCTTTATGGAATGAAAATAACAGTAGCCTAACAAGAATACCCAGGCATAACAAGAATAAGAATGCATAATATACGATTGTATTATACGATTGATTATATGATTGTAAAATCAAATTCAAACTGTCATTCTCTTTACATTACCTTGGTTGCATGCTTCCTGCCCAAATTTAAATTTGGCTTTAAAGCGGCACCCTGAGACCCACCAAACCGCGGCTTTATAAACTGAAAAAAAAAAAAAAAAAAGTAATCTTAAGAGGAGCCTTGTAAATTAAAATGCATATATTTGAATATGCTAGAATTTAAATATCAGTATCAGTAAATCCTCATTTGCCATAGTCACCATAGTCAAAGTTGGCTTGTGGGGTGTGAGTCATCCAGATGTTGCTGTCTGCCCCGGTGATGATGCAACTGATGCAACAAGTGATGCAGATGAGGGGCCTGGTGTCATTGAAGAGGACACTGACATGGAAGGCTACAGGTTAAGAGAAAAGAAAATGAAATTTTATAAGAGACTATAACACCAACACTTCATAATTTTAGGAAAATATTTTTGATACCTTTGTTGTATGGAATCCACAACTACATGTCTGTGTCCCTCCAAACAAAGACATTTGTCCCCTCAACTGCACTGGACATTTTTCAATCTGTAATTTTGTTTAACAGTGAATCATAAGAATGTGACCCCTTTCAATATGACATAGCTTTATGTTTTATGATTGTACACATATCACTTTATCTAAATTTACCTTCAGATACATGTCATGCCACTTTCTCTGGCGGGGTGCCGGCCTGTTTCCTGCCTCAGAAGGCCAGACCCCTACAGCA